GAGTAGTCAGAATCCATAAGCTACTGGATTTCATCCAGTCCGAGAGCTGGATGGTAAAATGGTCACTTTTCAACCTTAGGCTTTGAAGATTGGAAGGCACTGAAGCTGCGACGATGTAACTGTCCTGTTCTCATGGGTACTCACTCAATAGTACTCTAACCAATTTCATTTCACAATGAAAACTAAGTTACACTTTCCTTATATTTTCTTTTCTTTATTCGTTTGCATTCTCGGGTGAAACCAAAGGGTTTCACGCTTTTAGCTTTTACGTTCTTTTCATGTGGTGGGGTTGTTAGCCTCATGTCGAACTTTCTGTCTTTATTGGACTTGCTACTAACTAAGAGAGAGGGTTAGAACTATGCTGGCCGGGGATCGAACCCTAGACTTCGTGCATGGTAGGCAAGTGTCCTACCGGTAAACCACTAGTAAAACAACTTAACCCATGTTAACTCTATATAGTTTTGTTATTGTTATTCTATGTCCTAAGGTGTATTTTCTTTTAAATGATGATTACTTACTAATCTAAAAGTAATGAGAGATTTATTAATATATGGGTGAACCTTGAGCACTATGGTAGTAAGTAATTCCATATTAGTTTGTTTATTAGATTTATCACACACACACACAGTGAAACAGTATTATTTACTGGATGACACAGTTTCGAACAAAATTTATTCATTGTTCATAATCATTTCATCAATTATAATCACACGACTTCGAAACTTGAGTTTTATAGTTTTCTTTGTCCTCCCCTATTTGTCGTCGTTGGGGTAGCAGAATTTTCCAGATATCTGGGTGTACAGGTGTTGAATCATTCCTATTACACGTATTCTCTGTCAGTTGATTCAATAAACAAAGCCTCCGTTATCAATCCTGCTTCCTCCAGCCTGCTGCTACATTAGATTTTAAAACTGTCATCTTATCCCATCCCATCCTATGCTATATGGTTGTGTGTAATTTCATGTAGTGAGTGATATAGCTGAATTATTCTCCAGATTGCTTATCTTATTTGGGTCAACTAATCTTGATATTGCTAGGTTTATATGTTGGGCTAGTCTAACTGCCCCTGTTCTACTAGTTTGACTCATGTATTTGACCTGACAATCATTGCAGGCAGGCTATTTGATAAACTAAATTGTTTTGTTTTAAATGCTTCACAAGATTCTTTAACCGACAGAGCCAGTTTCTAATTCAGTTTGTGAGTGGTTTGAATGCCAGTCACTTTTATTCCTGCTTTGTTAAGAATTCTGCGTAAGGTTTCCGAGGTTCCTTCTTTGTATTGAGTTACTACTGATGATTTAGATTCCTTATTGTTTATATTGTCTTGGAAATATCTGACATGCATGTCGTCATTAACATTATTATTGTTATTATTATTTATTTATTTTGTTTTTACATTTCCCTACATACTTTCTGATTAATTTATCAAGGTAATTATTGAGTTTCAAACCTGATAATCATTCCAGCAGAGTATTAGATAATCTAAATTGTTTTGTTTAATTGGCTCCACTGGCAGGATCCTTTAACTGACAAAGCTTGTTTCTAATTGAGTTTGTGGGTGGTTTGAATGCCAGCTACTTTTATTCCGGCCATGTTAAGAACTCAGATAAATTAGTCAGAAAGTATGTAGAGAGATGTAAAAATAAAATAAATAATGATAGTAATGATAGTGATAATAATAATAGTAACAATAATAATAATGATAATGACGACATACGTGTCAAATATGCACAAGACAACACCAACAATAGGGAATCTAAATCATCGGTAGTAATTCCATACAAGGAAGGAACCTCGGAAATCTTACGCAGAATTCTTAACAAGGAAGGAATAAAAGTGACTGGCATTCAAACCACTCACAAACTCAATTAGAAACCAGTTTTGTCGGTTAAAGGATCCTGTGGAGCCTTTAAAACGAAACAATTTAGTTTATCTAACACTCTGCCTGCAATGATTGTCAGGTCAAATACATAGGTCAAAGTATTAGAATAGGTGCAGTCAGTCAGACTAGCTGAACATAAAATACCTAGCAAAATCTAGGTTGGTTGACCCGAATGAGATAAGATATCTGGAGAATAGTTCAGCTGTAGGACTCACTACATGCAATTACACACAACCATATAGCATAGGATGGGATGGGATGAGATGACAGTTTTGAAATCTAATGTAACAGCAGGCTGGAGGGGGCAGGATTGATAACGGAGGCTTTGTTTATCGAATCAACTCGCTGAGAAGACGTGTAATAGGAATGATTCAACACCTGTACACCCAGATATCTGGAAAATTCTACTACTCTAACGACGACAAATAGGAGAGAACAAAGAAAACTATAAAACTCAAGTTTCGAAGTCGTGTGATTATAATTGATGTTTTGTTTGAAACTGTGTCATCCATTAAATAGTACTGTCCCACTGTGTGTGTGTGTGTGCGTGATAAATCTAATAAACAAACTAATATGGAATAGTAGGTTTATTTTTTGTAAAATGTTTATAAAAAGTCAAGTGATTTGATCACAGCAATTGTTGATGTTTTCATCACAGGAATTGTATCTAATTGACGCCTTACCTTACCTAATCATTGAAATTTTTGTTATTATTGTCATCATTAAAGTGATATTTTGAGTGGTAATCATTCAGTGCTGCCACATGATGCACTGACAACAATCACTTCTTCTATATATGCACTACTCTATTAGCGTACAGGTAATATTTGACTATGAAGGCTTAGATTAAAAACAAGAAAGTCAACCATATTCGAAATAATTTGGGCACCAATTAAGCTTAAATCTATAAATTTTGGATTTTTATTGAAATGGTGAGATAAAAATTTCTGTTGTTTGTCCAAGGTGCAGTTGTTTTTCGCTTTATGTTATCATCTTTCTAGAGTTTAATCGATAAGAGCTTTCTTTCTCTCTTTATTTTACACCTCTTTTTATCCGACTTTTTATATTTTTCTTATTTTTTTAAAATCCAGTGAAACTATTCACGATTTAACCTCAAGTTTTGATCACGGATTGATATCCGTTGAAAATCACCAGGGAGTACTGGACAGCCAACTGTTTCATCTTAGTTTGGGGATAATCATCGGCAGTACTCGCTGACCTGCACGTCTCCACTTTACCCTATTTTACGCGGTCCCTTTGAGCTGGACCCATGATATATTTATTTATTTTGGTTATAGCTTGAAACCACACAGTATTTTTGAAATTTTCAGCAAGCGATATAGGTGGCCCAAATTTTGTAGGCCTACCATTGATACCATATGTGCGTCGGTAGGGGATCGAACCCCGAACCATTTGCATGGTCGGCGGGAGTCCTAACCGCTGTGCCACTCCATGTTACCCTCGGACTCACGCCCCACCTATCGTTTCCCGTTCGGGTTGGGATAGAGTTAAAATTCTAAAAAGTCACATAGGTAGGTGGAAAGAGAGATTGATTACTGAATCCTTGTTCATCGAGTCTACACCCAACACATGCGATAGAAGTAACTCAACGCAAATACCAGAGATATGTATGGAAGATATTAATACCACCAGTCAGTCAAATCAGAAGAGGATAATAAATAATTTAATTATTCCCATTGTAGCATACAATATTCAACTAAGAGACTCTTTTCAACGAATTTATTATCAAGCTGTACAATCGTATATATATGGTTTTTACTTATCCTATAATTATGTACCTCTTTCCAAAATCTATACACCTTATGTATCATTCTATGTATGACATTAATTATCTTGCCACTTGACATTAAACTATGATTATAATCACAAATATTTTAGTTTTAATTGCATTTCATACTACTATTATTATTATTTCATGTATTCACACCTTTGACCTAATTCCCTCACCGGATATAATTTCTTATAAAATAAACCATATATACGATTGTTCAGCTTGATAATAAATTCATTGAAAAGAGTCTCTTCGCTGGATAATAAATAATCTCAAAATTCTATTTCAATTCAAGCACATCACAACATTCTAACAAGTTACTTATTATGACTATAAAAACACTCGTCTTATTTCCCATCTGATTGTAATTGATCAATAACACTCATTTTTTTACGAGTTGATCACATATTGATATCAGTTAGAGAACCATTGAAAACCAGGGAGTACTGGACAGCTGTTTCATCTTAGTTTTGGGAATTATCAGCAGAAATATCTAGTCAATTCCACACATGTATATAAATGAAGGAAAATAAAGTTGTATGAGTAATGCCTTGATATGATTATGAGCAATAGTTTGTGCTCGAAACGTGGTCATCAGTTAATACTACTGTACAATGAACACTGTGTGATTTATCAAAATAAAATCTTATTCACAATGGAATCCAGTCTTTTTTCTTTCATTCCTTTGCATTTCAAGCGTAATACAGGGCCCCAAACTTGTTGGTTTCGTTTTCGGTGTTGGGGTTGCTAGCCGGACTTACAAGCCTCTCTTTCTTTACTGGTCTTACTACCGGTTAAGCGAAGTTCCGGTTTGAGTCAGCCGGGATCACGTGTGGTGTGGCTGACAAAGATTCTACCACTGTGTACCACCGCTGGCTAACTGTTAACAATGTTATCTTCAAGTCTTAGTTTGCACGGTTTTGATTGGCTACAGTTTTGACCAGAGGAATCCATCAAGTCAGCTAAGAGAACAATCACTCGCCGATAACATCGACTGGAGGTTGAGCTACATGTATAGTAAATTACCAAAAGCTGAAATTTATGGTTCATTGGAACAGGTCTCAGTGGCTGAATCGTCTACTTGCTTGTCTTGTGACACTGGGTTCAAATCCCGGTGGTGGATGCGCACTGCTGAAGAGTCCCAAACAACGAGGACGAGACATCTGGGTCTGTCCAGTATTCCCTTTTTTTCCAGTACTCCTCTGACACGGGTATCAGGTCGTGACCAAATCTGTTACAGCATAATTTTTTTCCCTCATTGCATTTCACTTCATTTTCATGCATATTTACCTTTTTCCACTTTCTTCTTTCCAATCAATATATCAGTTGTCGTTGTCTACTGGTGTATTCGTCTGCGACATTTCTACTTGAGTCAAAGACACACTAAAATGTATGATCCAGATGTCATGATACAACCTGGTCAACCACGTCCAAGTATTATCAGTAGTAGTGGTCCGATGCACTTTCCGAGTACAGTTCTACCAGATTATCAACGTCCTTCATCTTTTGTGTATAAAAGTCCATCACAGAGTAAACTACCACCACCTAGCTATCCTGGAGAGTCAAATGATCCAGCAGATGTTGGAAAGCGTCCTCCTCTTTATCCGAATTTAAATCAAGATGGATATCTCAATAATAGTAATAATAGTAATAATTTTACAAATGAGACTCCATTGAAACAATCCGCCTCCATTGGTGGTGATGTTGGCGGTTCAGTTAATGCTGCGGTTAATTTAAGTCCTGTGGTGGATAAAAGAAATTCAGCCAGATTTTCACAAGGACTGCAATCGCCTAGTAAGTGAATTTAAACTTTATGCATCTCACTGTTTGTATTTAATTTTTTTTATTTATCTAAATGATTAATTTATGTTGGTATTTTGGCTTTTAACACAAGTGATTGGACGACTGTGCGTTTGATTCCAACTTTGGTGTCGCTTTTATAAGCCTCAGGATGGTCGGGGGTGGGTGCCTTGCGCTGCGGGTTGGCCACCCCTCCGCACACCTCTTGAAACGCTCCCATATGACCGGGCCTCTTACATAGCCTCTCCTGAGGAAGTCCTACTCACTGCCTTCACGTGGCGGAGGTGTTTCTCACCAAAGTGAGAGGGCGAAAGCGGATGCCCGACGCTCTTCACCGGGTTGACTCTCCATTGGATGACAGTATAGGGGAGATGGCTAAACCCTGATTCCAAACCTCCAACGACTGGCGTATGAAGCTCAGTGGAGCTCACCGGCAGACGTATGGACAAAGGGCTTGTTGGATGTCCTGGATGTTTGGCCCCATTCAAAAAGGCGTATGAACCGAACTCCGGTCACCGGCTGCCAATGGATAGTGGACTCCCTACTCCACTCCTACTGCCTTGTAGGTCACACTTGGTTGTGTGAAGGCTAGAGCTGCACTCTCAAACAAAAGGCCGAGCGATTCTGGGGACATCACTCGTACCAAATTCCCATGAAACTTCATGAGCTCTTGTTCATGAAGCTGGCTCATCCTCCCGTAGGAGATAGCCGAAGTAAAGTAAGTAAGCTAGAAGTAGAGCCGTGGATACACGTGTTTCACTGTATACAGGACCCATTGGATGAATGTGCGCCTCAGCTACTGATTGTTTTTCTGCCTTCATTTCTTCTTTATTGGTCCAAACACTTGAAGCATCACTGCAAACACTTCATAAGGGGCTATCGCAGACTTTCATCAACAGTTGTCCACTTTGCTGAATACTGAAGACCACGTGCCGGCGTAGAAGGGATTAGCAACAAGGAATTCCGGGAACGAATCAACAAAGAACTTATTTTCAAGTATTGATTTGTTGGGATTTGATTGATTGGTTACAGAATTTCATCATGAGCTGACATCAGTGTTAGAGAACCATTGGAAAATCATTGGCACGGGTCCCAGTGGCTAAGTGGTCTACTAGCTCGCCTTGTAATCAGAAGGTACCGGGTTCGAGCCCCAGTAGGTGCGTACTGCTGCTGGAGGCTGCCAAACTAAAACGAAACAGCTGTCCAGTACTCCATGCGGCTGGTTTTCCAATGGTTCTCTAACTAATGTCAGCTCATGATGAAATCCTGTAACCAAGGAACTGATTGTTTAGCCAATATGCCGAAGAATTCTGAGATGGATTGGGCATAAGCTGTGGAGATCGCTGATTGACATAGCGCTCGAGGCAAATAGTCGAACGGAACCCGAATATGGGAACGCTGAATTATGCGTTGATCCAAGGGTGACATGGAGGAAATCATGTGAGAAGGAAATGAAAGCTTCTTAGGTGTCATGGAGCTGGCCAGAGACAACTACATAGAACAGGATGGAATGGAGATGTATTGTTGAAGCGCGTTATGTTCTACTTAATCCTTATGTAATAATAATTATGTGTAACACATGCGAGGGATGACTCTTTTGATTTAGCAAACAGCTTAGTGTGTATAGCTTTGAATTTTAAAATAGTGACTTCTGGTTTTAAGTCTCAGTGAGAAAAGAATGATTTATAGATACAATTCAGAAAGTAGTTCTTCCACGATACATGTACACTTTCAAAAATAACTGTTTTTTTTTACTAGCAATTGTAAAAATTAATTTGAACACAGAAGAGAGTGAACGATGCGATGGAAGGTCTGTAAAAGCTGCTTGTTGTTTGTTTAGGAATGCATTATCCTCGAGTACAACTCAAACGACATGAGTGGTTGGTGATTATTTTACAACTGATCCCCTCGACGTAAATGCCGAAAGTTACCGCTACAATATGTGCTTGCGATGAATATAAAATTGGTTAGATATGCTGGAGTAAAATTCTCCAAATTCAGTTTTGTTCGAGTTTACATTTTTAGTACTAAACGCCTGTCACCAATTGTTTCCAACCATTGGTTTTTACCTTCCCGAGGACCCCACTCAGTCAGTCAGGAAGTCTACACCTTCCTACGTGGCCTAGACTAACTGTTGTAGATTTCATTGACTGATGAAGCCATGTTTTGGTTTGACCACCAGTGGCTCTTTTCCAGCCTGACCCTATATCAGCCAACATTGCCCGCCGGTCGAGGAAGGCGATAACTAGGCATACGTCACAAATGTCCTAACCATCTCAATCGGTGTAACTTCACAGCCTCGTCGATGGATTTCCCCTCCTTACCTAGAATTCGACACCTAACCTCAATATTGCTCACCTTATTATACTACTTAGCACACACGGGAGATAGAACGCAGGCACCTATGATCAAAGACAACTAGCCGGCTTTTCATGTCTTCCACTCTCAATGGCCAGGTCTCACAGCTAGCCATAAAGGAGGACGGAGCAGACTGATGAGCAGTACACACGCCCTTTGGTCGACAACCAGCCGGATATCACGTCTACTAAGCCAGAGACGGCTTAAACTGGCATATGCGAAACTAGTTATTTCAGAACATCTTTTAACACACAGAGGAGGAAGAATAATCAGTGGAATACAGAAATAAACTGGTCATAAAATAATATATACTTCTTCTTTAGCTTGTCCTGAGTCAAAACAACAACAACAATATTATTATTTTAAGAGAGGGTTAGTTTTATTTCCATAACCCCAATGATTTTTATGATCTTCATATGTATGTATCTATTGCCATTAGGCGAGGTGAATCAATTCTTTCTCTAGCTTTCTGCGTCCATTTCTCTCTCTCTCTCCCTCCTTCTATCACATGAGATTAAATTATTCCTGTTCTCATTTTATACCGGTCACTTTTATCTAATCTGTAAAAGAACAGAGAAATATGATTGGGAAAGTACACGTATATTGTTTGTTTCTTTGCGAGTGTGTGTTCATTTTTTCCTTCAGAAAACAGTTTTAAAAGTACACCTTGTAATTTTCCAACTAAAAGGAGAATTCTAACAATTCTGGTTTATTTAGTCCACCTAATATTATTATTATTATGATTATGATTATTTTATTTTAACATTTAATGGACTCTACTCAAAATGGACGAAAAGTGTGCGTCAGATTCTACTGCTAACTGCTACTACTGTAACAATAGAAGACAAGGGCCAGGCAACAGATGGTTTATTGAAGAAAATCAACACATATTTAAAGCAATTAGTTCCCTTAATGAATTTTGACAACACAATAAGAAGAAGACGTAGTTTATCTGAAACGTGTAATGTATTGGCGGAACACATTTCGGACATTCTGATCACAAACACCAGTACTTGTCATACACAGTTTTTATAGAATGCAAGAAGGCATGAATAATTACAATACAGGTCAGATTGTATACAAGTCAAGGTCACAAATAATGGGTAAGGAGACACAAAAGGTGTGGGTAAGAAAGATAAAAGGAGAAAAACAAGGCAAAGAAGGGGTTGAAAATATTAGGAAGTAAATTGGTCCTTGGTTCTAAATTGGATTACCAAGGCAGGTTTCAATGAATTTTAGTGTGTGGCCCAACCTTGTTTTATATATCGGCTTAAAGGCATTGTTGAAATCCACCTTATGACCCGTCTCTATAATATGCTTGGCTATAGATGATGTTGGACATTTATTAACCTGCAGAGACCGATGGGTCCTCCCTATGTACGTGTCTCCACACATACATGTAAATTGGTAAACACAACAACAAATGAAATCACCAGACACAATTGAACCCGGAAATAGATGTTCAACATCATCTATAGCCAAGCATATTATAAAGTGGATTTCAACAATGCCTTTGAGCCCATATATAAAACAAGCTTGGGCCATATACTTAAATTCATTGAAGCCTTAGCCATAAAAAGACTTAAAGCTGTCTTATGTGTCCAAAAGTTATTTGTTATCAACTTAAACCTGCCTTGGTAATCCAATTTAGAACCAAGGACCAATTTACTTCCTTATATTTTCAACCCCTTGTTTGCCTTGTTTTTTCTCCTTTTATCTTTCTTACCCACAACTTTGCGTCATCTCCCTAACCATTATTTGTGACCTCAAACTGTATACAATCTGACCTGTATTGTAATTATTCATGCCTTCTTGCATTCTATAAAAACTGTGTATGACAAGTACTGGTGTTTGTGATCAGAATGTCCGAAATGTGTTCCGCCAAAACATTACACGTTTCAGATAAAACTACGTCTTCTTATTGTGTTGTCGCAACACATATTTATAGATTTTAATATACATTATTGTAGATTATTGTTAATAGAAAATACAGTCTTTTGATTGGTTGTTTCTCACAGAAAGTTAACCTTGCGTCTCTTTGTGGCTGTGTCAGATCATCCATATGCTAACTGTATCCGCCTACGCAAAGCCTTTGTTCTCACTTTCTCACCACCAACATTGGGGACATAAACATTGACGTCAATTACTGTCAACCAACTTTGGCTAGCAGCCAGCTCTCATCACACTACTTATTCCTTGCATTCCTAGAGGTATGTAGATCATTTGCAGCACATGTCTTCCATCAACTCACATAATCTTCTCTCCATTGTAGGCGGATGTCCAACTCATAACCGTCTCCCCTTCTTCGGATTGTATTCAAGAGCCTGTCTTGCATGTGATGTTATTCAGCTGTCCCTTCAGCTTAACATCCAATCCACCTCTCTTTCTTCCTTCATATATTGTTGATTACCAAAAGATTACAGGATTTCATCATGAGATGATATCGGTTAGAGAACCATTGGAGAACTTAAAAGTACTAGACAGCTGTTTCGTCCTGGTTTGGCACTATTTATCAGTGTGCAAGCAAGCTCGAAATACGCTCCAAAATGAAGAGAGCAAAGGAGGGCTGGATTACTGAACAATGTAATATCATCGATGATAGCTTAAGGGGAGGCAACAATAAAAAAGCATTCGAA